TCTTGCTTAAGACGCATATGGGAAAAAGCCTTTTTTCTCCTGAACTGAAGCCTATTTCATTCACGCAGTGAAACGGCACGGCCATTGGTTCGTGCAGGGCTTTAAAAATGAACCAATGGCGTGGCAGCGGAGCTGCACGAGCCTATGGTGACGAAGCCTGCCAAAGCCCGCCAGAATGGGCGGGGCATCTGGCTATATAAGCGGTCGCTCGCCACAGGATTCTCAGGTTTACTTTGACTGAAGCGATTACTTTGACTGAGTCATGCAGCTACATAGCATGGCTAGCAACGCAGTACTTGTTCCCGTATCTCAGGGAACCGAGGTTATGTTAGTAAGCGAGTACGTTCCCTTTCGATACTTCACCCGTACTACGTCTTGCTTAAGACGCATATGGGAACAGTCCAATCACGCCGTGCTAATGTAGTGGAACGACTAAAGGTATAACTTCCATAAGCAACCAATGCTTATAGAGAAGTCAACAATAACCCAAGGCTAAGCGGGCTGAGCTTTCTAGGTAACCGGCCTGGTTAATCGTTCCAGAGTATACCCGTAACTTCGACACCCAGGGGTCGAGAGCTAACAGGTGAACAATACCAGAGAACTTGGTCGCAGCATGACCAAGGGCTCTCTGTCATGTCTGTTTACGCAGCGCGTGCCATTTCAAGCGCAAAGGATCCTGGCCTGTAAGGCCGGGACTTCCAGGTTATAAAACCTCGCAAATGTGGACGGCGAGGTCCAGTCGCAATGGACACACCACTGGACCGCAATGGACACACCACTGGACCATGCCCACGACGAGGCAATGCCTCTAGTCGAGTGGGCCCGTACTCCAATGGGGCATTGGAGGCCCAAGGAAGAGTATGCTAGCAAGATGGCGTCTACTATCCATCTAGAGAGTCTTTGCTTCGTAACCGGAAACACCTTGGTGCGGTTACCGAAGCTGACAAAGAGTTGTTCCGATCGCCTATAGGGAGCGGAACACTCAATATAGATTCTCAATGCCCTGACGGGGCAGAGCAGAGATAGCTCTCTGTCCTCTTCAGTTGGAGGAAGCGCAGAGAGTGTAATGACCTGTGCTCTGAACGGAGTGGAGAGCACTTTAGGTACATAACCGTGCCTCGGTTTCAGGACGAATTTAGAGTCGTTAGGCCCGAATTCCAGACAGGCAGTGTTAATTGAAAGCGCCTGCAGGTCTCCTATTCGCTTTACTGATGCTAGTGCTAGAAGCAGAGCAGTCTTTAGCAATAGCGACCTAATGTTGGCGGCTTGTAGCGGCTCGAAAGCGGGGGCCCTTCAGGGTCTTAGCACAGTGGGCAGGTCCCATGAAGGGACGGTAGGGGGACGAGGCAGATTCAGCCTCCTTCCACCCTTCAGGAAGCGGATGACCGCACTATTTTTGCCCACTGATTGACCCTCAATAAGGACATGAGAGGCCGCTATAGCCGCCACATAGACTTTGAGTGTGGATGGGGATAACACTGGAGATGCTGCTGCCATGAGGCCCAGCATCCTTTGAAACGCTGTGAGCGGTCGAGCGGTACCGATCTTGAAGGAGGTCGCCAACCTCCGTATGGCCAGAGCTCGTTCTGGTGTGACTACAGCTTTCATTTGAGCTGAGTTGAAGATTGTTCCCAAGAATTAGATTCGTTGGCTGGGAAGCAATGAGCTTTTGGTAAAATTGACCCTGAGTCCCAGGCACTCTATGTGGCTGAGGAGGAGGGCTCTGTGAGATATTAGTTCTGCCTCAGACTGGGCCAGGATGAGCCAGTCGTCGAGGTAATTGACAATACGGACTCCCATCTGTCTCAGAGGGGATAGAGCCGCAGCCATGTACTTCGTAAAGGTGCGGGGGGCCAGGGACAGCCCAAAGGGAAGGACCGTATATTGATAAGCCACACACTCGAAGGCAAATCTCAAGAATGGCCTGTGACGAGGGGCTATCTGGATGTGAAAGTATGCATCCTTCAGGTCCAGGGAAAAGAACCAGTCTCTCGAGTGAATTTGCGAGAGGATCTGTTTCAGTGTAATCATCCTGAACGACCTCCTTATGAGGGCGCGATTCAGGTGTCTGAGATCGAGGATGGGCCGGAGGCCACCATCTCTTTTGGGGACGAGGAAGTAACTGCTGTAAAGGCCTGACTC